CTCTCTAGGACGGGAGAGCATGAAAAGGACAGCTGGGAGCAGTCACTGACTTCAGCTGTCCCATGATATAGTGGTATTATATAGTGGCAACCACAAGTCCCTTAACTCCTATTATCTCAAGCCTTTGAATCATTTTTGAAAACATAGCCTCATTTCTTGGCACTAAAGAATTTAGCAGTCTCTTGGCACTAGAGTATTCATTTATTTTGTTGTATTTGTTTTGCCGTGATTCTTAACTGATTTCTGAGCAAGACTTTGTCTTCTTTACAGTCATCTTGTTTCATGATTTAAAATGGTTTGCTGAAGAACAGCCATGAATCAGCATTGGTCCACAGGGCACGTGCAAAGCACCTGGCCCTGGGGCAGCTCCGATCTGCTAACACATGGCTGAGGGTTGTGTCCTGTTGCCCCTTTCTTTCTCCACCCGGTGCTTCTTTCCTTTGTTCATTCAACTACCTGCTGCTTTCTCTTTATCTTTCTATGGGGTCATCTGGCCCTGCAGTACCACAGGGGAGACTCGGCTGGTACAATGACCCTGAGCACAGCCTGAGCACAGTGACCCCAACACAGACAATCCTCATCAATGCACGTGCACAACAGGCTGGGTGGGCCCAGATGTCACTTCCAAATGGAGTGACACATGCAGCTGATCTGTGAGTCTGGTGTGCCCAAGTGCCATTTTCATACTTGACAATGTTGGCAGTTCTCTTCCTTTACTCTCCTGTATTTTTTTCCATTGGTCTAGTTCAGCAGTGCAAATAAAATTAGTCTCAGGTGAGAGAGCAGGAGGTGAATGTAAAGCAGTTAAGTTAGGTTTCTTTTGGTGAACAAGAAGATGTGATGGGATAAGCGAGGATGCCAGATGAGCCAGATTTCTAACCAGGTCCAGGGGATCATTCAAGGAGATGGGTGAGGAACTAGCATATTTTTTCTTATCAAAGAGCCACCACCACAGATAAAGGGGCAATTTTAAGTATTTCCCTGCAATGTTTTTGTCTGACTAATTTGCTGTTTTGTGCCCTCGATGAGGGGTTGCATTGAAACAACTACTTCCATGCATCTGTGCATGGAAGGAGAAGAAGGAAGGAGAGAGATTCAGAAGGAGAAAAATTACTTGTGCTTCGTAGAAATGCCCAGAAACATACAAAACAGGGACATTCAGAGGAGCGGCTGGGTCCGGGAGAAAGAAACCACTTACTGGATCAGATGCATTCTTTGTCCTTCAAATGCCCTTGTCCTCAGGGTTTTAAGCTGACCAGTCTTTAAAGGCAAATTTAAGAGAGAGGGAATTTCTTTCCTGTTGCAGGCCATTGACACTTTACCCAGCTCTCCTCATGAGCCAACTATCAGGGCCTTGCTTCCCTGTGATCTCGTTTGCAAAAATCATTCCCTAGACCAAACTATAGCTGCAGGGCCATCACGTACATTTTATTCTGGCAGAAATGACTGGACTGTTCATACTGGGGTCCCAAAGCATTCCTGTTCCCACTTCTCCTTAAAAGGCATCGCCCACCTGGCCTAATTATGAACATGAACTAAACAGCCTCACACGCACCCTTGCATAACAACTGCTGGGTAGTGACAGATTTTAAGGGAATTGGTGGTTATCTGATACATAGTTGAGCAGCCATGTTCAAGGCTATAATTGATCCTTGCTCTTTCTTTCTTTGCTACAGCCCACCTGCTAACTGCAGCTCTTTCCATCAGGTTGTCCTCTTTAAAAAAAAAAAAGGATTAATCTTGTAGTGAAGTTCAAATTACACAAGAGTTATTTGACAGAGTAATATCCGTGTACTGAGCTAAAGACCTGACCTGGGAGTGAAAAATCAAACAGGGATGTTTTCTTAAGGTTTAAAGCCCATAGACTAGACTCAAGTGGTGATATGGAGCAGCAGATGACACAGAGGGCAGATTTGTGTTATTTTCAAGGCGTTCTGTCATGCTGTGACATATGCTCCAGGCTAATACTGTTGTACCTTAAACTGCTCCCTCTGGGTGAATTTAAGGGCTAACAACTTGCATGTTGTTCCACCTGTTGACAAATTGTATTGCACGGTGGGTTTTTCTGAGCAGGAGGAATCACACTGGGACAAATAAATGACACTGAAATCACTGATGTTGCAGATTATTTGCAGCTTGAAAAATGCATAAGGTTGAAGGCATACATCATTTATGAGCAGGTCGATATGGGTGTACAGGCCTGAAGGAGAGTAAGTTGCTATGTCCTATAGCTATATTTGGTAACGTCTCTTAAAATATTCCTTCTACAGAGATGAACCATTGCTTCCCTTTCTCCCTTTTCTGGTTTTATGACCAAGGAATGTATTAACATATATTCATATTTTGCACTGTACAATAGCCTTTGCATGTTTATGAAAGTCAGTGAACTTAGCACGAAGGCACTTTGAGACAGAAGCACATTGATTTACCAGCCTAGAGGTGAGGAAAAAGACTTGGAGGAGATGGAGGGGACTGCAGTTGGAAGTAGCTGAGAATACTGCAAATGTCCACGAGGATCCCACACGCTTTGCCAAACAGCCACCGGGAGCTGCTGGTCACCCAGCATGTTGTCCTTACCCTCCTGTTCTAACGCCAAAGTGGGGACTCTTTGCAGGAGACAGGACTGGCTGATTGCATAAGCACAGCCTTGGGAGTCATGATTACTGTTTTACCACCCGTTCTGACAAAATGCTTATGTCAGGGCAACAGGACCAAGCAGAAATCCCCCTTGGCTTAGGCAGACTTTGGCTTGCGTCACAGTCTGAGCTTTGGACATCATGCTGCCACTCTGTGCCTCAGTTTCCCCATCTGCAGAACCACAACAAGAGAGTACCTCCTTTCACAGGTTTGGTCTGAGCATTTCAGTTAATGCTCACAACGAAGAAGGAGAACCTCAAATAGTCATGTCCCAGATGCATCACACGACTAGTGCTTGTAGAGGAAAAAAATGCTTCCTTTCGATTTCACTTACCAGCAAATGCACTGACAAAAGGCAGTATGCTTGTTTGTTGGACAGGGGTTTGCAAACATTATAACCTGACTGCAGTCAGGATTATACAGGACAGTGGTGCAGTTAATATCACCGTGGTTCACGGCAATCAGCAAGTAAATTAAACCTCTATTTGCAGAAGGGACTGCACATTCATATGTCCATATAAGCCAGGGACATACTGATTTTCCAGGCTGGGTAATTTCTGATTGAATAAATTACTAGTAAAATGAGAAGAAAGAAGGTTGCTCCCGTTTGCTGCAATCATACACTAAGGCTGGGGCTCAGCTGGTGAGCTACTAACTGGAAGGTGGTGTTATATAGAGTATCACTCTGGGGAGACCCCTCTCCAAGTTTTGAGGATTATTGCAGATCAGAACTGCCCAGGGGAAAACAGAAAGGTGCCTGGCCCAAAAACCCTGGCTCAAATACCCTGGGACTTCAAACCACCAACAGTCTACCTTGGCGGTCACGGCAGGAAGCCACAGCAAGCATGCGTGCTGAACGCAGCTGGGTTTTCGCCTCCCTGGCAATGACATGTGGAGACGTCTACGCGAATCTGTAGTGATCCCGGGGCCTTTGGAAGGGGCAGAGTAGCTGAGCAGGGCTTAGTGCAATGGAGCATCCGCGTGGAGTCAAAATGCATGCGGCATTAATACTAATCATTGGTTAGTCATCATTTGTGAATTTTTTGCTTTTTTCTAATCTTGTCTTGTTCCTCCTTTTTTTTGTTTTTACCTTTAGTGAGCAATATGCGCATGTGTGGAGAGATAGGTTTTAATTAGGATACTGGAAAAATTGAATTACAAATTTCAGGAAGGAAAATCGGCTGGAAGATTATGTTTGATCTTTTAATTAAGATGAATCTAGAGAAAAGAAGAAACACTAAATGGTGTGGGACTGACAGGGAAGTGAAGATAAAGGCAGTTAAAATCATATTTATAATTATACAAATTTGCTTCTCTTTGAAAAAGGAAAATATTGGAATTGTCTTTACCTTTTTGATAATTTTATGATAACCTTAATATCTGCACTAGTTTGGCTGTATTGGTTTTTGTAACTATTGCAATAGGCTTCTAGATGAAATGTGTTTGTGATCCATATGTCAGGTTCGTACATTGTTATTGCAGTTAACACAGTCTTTGTGATAGCATATCTGTCCTATTATAGAACACATCCGTTTTGTGGTCTACAACAAATTCCGTCTTAACTGTTTAGAGGTTGTTCCTGCTTAAAGCATCCTCTTACATTTCATAACGTATCTAACTGCAAGTTGAGGAATTTTAGAGAAATAGTATCAGCAATTTTACTAAAACTAGTTTATACTTTTTTGCTTAAAATACCCTTTCTCCCCTAAACTCAGAACTTTTGGAAAAAGTTTTGAATTTTTGTAAATATTGCCATTTCTGAACAACAACAAAATCTCCTTGGGGGGAAGTTATAGAGTGGATAGTTTGGGTTTTCCCATTTTCTTTCAAATTCTAACTTGTCTCCATTTCATTCTTCCTTCCCCCTTTCAAATCCAGTAACATGCACTTATTGGAAAGTCACAGGTGACAGGACTTGTCACCCTATTTCTTAGCTCTCTTTCTTTGAGTGAGATGTCTATTGTAAGCTAAGCTAAGTCTTTTGCCCCTTCCTAGAGAGCATGGGATACACTGCCAGCTGGGTCTCTTTCTGACCACTGTAAAATGAGCCCAGAAAACTAGTTAGAGTAAGTATATCATTCTCAAATGGCTAAAAATAGATGAGATGATTTACACCCATAGTGACCAGAAGGGAAATGAAACACAGAGAAAGAGATAATTGCAAGAAAGGTAAAAAGAAAAGACAACCTCAGATATTATAAAATCTACATGATATTGAGTGTCAAAGGATAAAAGGACTTAGAATGAAGAGCAGAATGGGAAATACAAGGAATAAAATTATTTATTTCAAATATTTCAATATAGCAATATCAATATTTTAAAACATTGATTTTTTTTTTGAAATTTACCATGCAGTACAAATCACTATTTCTCATGCATCTATCTATCTTCCTCATTTTGGGGTTCATTCCTAGTTGTTACTGATGTCTGACATTTATTGGTAAATAAATGAAACCCCTGTATCTAGCAGAATAGTTTCTGGTAGCACAGACAGCTTCCTCTGTCTTTCTCTTTTCCAGCTTCAGCTGTTATAGTCTGCCTTCACATATGTTACATGCCAGTTTTGCTACTCCAGATGGCCGGAGAGAAGACAGTCAACCAACACTGCACAGTGTAAGCACTATATGGCATCCCCATCAGTCTATGGAAGAGACAATCAGATTTTTCCCTTTCTGGGGTCACCCTGTTGCACGTTTCCTGCCCATCCAGGACACAGTGGCACGGTGTAGCTGGTATGGGCTCTTATATAAGGAAATATGTGGAGAATGCTGCCCACCTGACAGCAAATGTTCATTCCTGCCATCCCTTATTTTCTTAGCACAGAGCATGGTCCCCACGCATTTGCATCTTCCCATGACTTCATGGTAGGGTATACAATCATAACCTCAATTTCAGCCATTCTGACTAGTATGACCCTTGTGTTACTGCTGACAGTGTGAGCTGAAAAAATATACAAAAAATAATAGTGTCTGAGGGTCATCATATGGGCCCCAGAGGAGAGCCAGTCTCAAATGCTATGTAACGTGGACACAGTCAATTTGTGTCACTTGGTGTCACAGAAAGGTCCCCTGCCTTGTTTTATGCCCTAATACTTCTGATTTGGAAAATTAGCGAGGAACTACCTACAGGAGCGGTGGCTGTCACATCTGCAGTCCCCACTAATGAGCATGAATACCCAAGAACTGATGGCATTATTTAAATGGTTCTGCCAACCTTCAGCAGTTCAAGGCCCTGAGATTCAAGGTCCAGCACCGAGCTTTGGTTTCCTTGGCAGCAAATGGCAGAGTGCTGTGAATAGCACAACAGACTCCCTGCCCCAATGTGCTGCATTGAGGCCAGCCCCACGCAGAGTGTCCCCTTGGAATGAAGAGCCTTCTGGTGCTCCCTCCACGTCCACCTGCAGCCCAGTGTACCATTTTTTAAGACTATGATGCTGTGCAACAATACCATTTCAAGAGCAACCTTCATTTTCAAAGGAAACCTTTATAGGCCATCCACTGTTTTGTTAGTTAGCATTGCTGGAGTTCCCTTAGCTTGCTATATATTATCAGGAAATTGCACTGTTTGAAAGGGTCATGGTTCTGAAGGTTCAACACGTAGATCTGTATCTAAGTCTGGAAAACTAAGTAGAAAGCAGGTTCTTAGGCCCATGTTGAAAAACATGAGCGAGAGACAGATATCCCTCCCACTAGGACATGATTTCATGTTGTGCCAACAAAAAGGAAAATCCCCCATCAGTGTTATGACTTGCCATACTGCGTAGTATAATGAATTCAGAATCTGAAAGAGAAACAGAGAACTTTGGAAGTCACTAATAACTATTACGGGAAGTGGTATAGCTGTAGTCAAACAAATGCATTCCAGTTCCAGTGTTCTAATATATTTTGTCATTTTTCTGAAAAAGAGAAATCTATGAATAAAAGTTAGGCTTTACTTTCCATTGCTTGTTTCTAGCAGTTCTAGTAATATCTGCAGAAAACCTGCTAAAGCCAGCTATGTATCCACACAGAAAGTCATACTGATAGTATATTTTAAAAATTTCTCACGCTAACCCAAGGTATTATTAGCATTATGATACCTCCTACAGACACTAAGATTGGGCACATTGGGGTAGCCGCTGAGTAAATATATGCCGAGAAGCTATCCTTGTGCCACACAACCAGCTGGCCCAGTGCCCAAGAGAGACTAAAGGTAGGTAGGGATTAAGAAGGGAAGCATCTGTCCTGAGTCAGACAGCATAAAGACAGAGATAAAAATAAACTCCATATCTAAACTCACTTCCCCTGTGGCACCCTGGACCAAACTGCTGATTCTCTTTTGTTCATAACTGCTATACACCCATCTGCCAAAAAGATCTTCATCCCACATCTTCTTCCCTTTGAAACAGATATAAAACCAAATACTGAGAGAATCCTACAAAGTATCTGGTGCCATCTCTGCTTGCTCAGTAACTTCTGACGTACAAACTAAAGCAGCTCATGACTGGTCTGATTTGGTGCTAGCACTCAATGGTGACATGACTCTTCGTTTTGCAAACTCTTTTCTGCCTTCCCCAAAGTCAAATATGGAAAAGCTGTGACAGCAGCATGAGCAAAAGGCTATTGGAAATAATCCTCTTCATTCAGCCTGCATACAAGATTTAGTGGTGCAGTAGCATTGCAAGGATGATTTCCACGCATCTGATAACACTGTGACACCCTATAATAAAACGTATACCTTCTGTTTCATTTTATCCATTTAAGCCCTTTGAGCAACTAACAGTTGTTGAGTTCCCCATTCCTACTATTAATAGTCGGGGGAGTCCATGTCTGCCTACTCAGATTTATTACATTTTAACTAATCTTGATTGAAGTCTTCATATGTATAGGCTCCAGAGCAGTCAGTCACCAGGGTTACAAACACACACACACACACACACACACACACACAGAGTTGAAGTTAGCTGAGAAGAGCTGAAACAAAAGTCATTTCATGAGTCAACCAGTTTTGATTCCCCCTTTTCCTTAGAAAATCTGGAGAACTAAATACAAGAATCACCTCTTTCACCATCACAAATAAATTACCGGTGTGAAAGTCCCACTGAAGTCTGTGGGGAGATTTCCTACAGTAGACCAACTTGTGCAGCCCCTCAAGTTTTGTCATTATGGAGAAGCAGTGATTCAAAGACATCCTGTGCAGCAAGAGAGAGAAATTCATCCATGATGCTGGTATATTTTAGCTGAGTATTTTTAATACTAAACTTTGTGTTCATGGATTTGTCTGATGTGAAAATCAGCTCAAGAGAAAATTTGCGATGCAGTTTCTCAGCTGCAAGTATGAGCTCTAACAAGTCCCATGTATGCATTTACTTCTGCTTGAAGCTGATTTGCCCTGGGATCCTTCCTGTAAGCGCTGCTGGGGGCAGCCATAGGTGCAGCAGCTGCAAGGGCACTGTGCTGGGAGGAAGCGGGCCTGCACCGCCCAGGCCCATGAAAGCACCTTGGTACACAAGTCTTCCAGCCTATTTCCCCAAAAAGGTAAAACTCAGCTGAGTAGGCCTTTTCACTGCAGACCTCCAAGGTTTCCCGCAGCAAATTTCCCATTTAGGAGCCTTGGCTAAGTGCCCCAGTTAGGATGAGTAATCCTGGGCCTCAGCCGCCAGCCTTGGCTCTCGTGGGAAGCCTGGTGAAGCCTTAATCTCCGGAGTCCACAGTGGCCCGTTAGCAGTTGCATTTGCCTTTCACTCACTCTTTGCTAAAGCAATGCTCAAAAGATGAAGCTGATAACGCTAATGGTGATAAGGGCTGTGCTCTCCACCTCTCCGGAGCACCCCGAGAGCAAGCAGGCACTACCTCCTGCACATCGCTCCCAGGTTAATGGATGCTCTGCTTTCCCCTGCAGAGCTGAACCTAGGGTCGTTTTGGGGGAAGAAGGTATGCAGGCACCTGTGCTGCCGCACTGGGGCTAGACAGGGCCTCTTGGCAATGGCTTTTGTTATTATTTTCTAAATTGTTTTTTCCATTTTAAATCACTCTGCATCTGATCTACCTGCAAAATTGTAACAGCTTTGGCTGTGTCTGGTTCTTTAGCACCACTAAGCATTCCTTGGACCAGGAAGACTGTGCTAAGGAAGAGCTTCTGCTGTCTCCACTCCTGCAAGAATAGAATAAATCTCTTGGGGCTTTAAAAATTCACTTCTTCAGCCGGCACTTACACAAAGAGCCTGGCTGCTCTAAGGCTGGGGCTATAAGTAGCAGCTCAACTGAAAGCTGATTTCTCTGCTCTGCCTGCATGGCTGTTCTTTCCATTTGTTCTGATTTCCAGCTTCTCACAAGCATTAACCTCAAAGCATTATCGATATTGTACTGAACACATTTATTACAGCAGTAGGGTCTCCACCGTACATGGAACAAAGGTGATGCATGAAATTAGGGTTACCACACAGACATATACGCTTTTTGCAGGCAAAAATGATGTCTGAATAGGAACTGTTGTGGTCTTTTGCCTGAGTTTTCTGACGGCCTGAGGGCAGTGGATCTGACCCAGCTGAGAGCATGCAGGAGCCCAGGTAAGACACAGCGTATACACGCAGAGCACCTCTGCGCGAGGCAGGCAAAATGCAGTCGTGGGCTCTGGGATGTGTCAGGCTCCCTGAGCACACACCATGAAGATGACTGTGTGCGCAGGAAATCTGGTGCCTCCAGCATACGTGGAGATGGTTGAACACATGTGGCTCTTCTCTACCATGTGTGCTTGGCAGGTCCGATGTGTCCAGGATGCGCTGAACATATTTAGCCCATGCTGCAAATATAGCTTGAAGGTGACCAAAGTCTATCTCTGGAAACCCTGGGAAAAATCTGACAATGTCCATGAACTCTGTGTTCAGGGAGGGGCAGAGAAGGACTGATAACAAACTGTTTTCTTGCTAGTTTAGTGAAAATCCAAGGGGAATGATAACTAGGGAGTGGCCTGGGTAGTCTGAGATTTGGTAATGGGATATAGCTCAGCAGGGGCATTTCCACCTCTTCAAACCCCTCCTATTGTCTGGGTGCAGGACAGAGGTGACAGCTTGTTTCCTCTTACTTCCTTCCTCTGGCATGCTGTGGTTTTTGGACTTCCATTTTAAAGGTGATTTGGGTGTTAAGGACAGCCCTGACCTTGCACAGTGTGGCTGAAGCATGGAAAAGCAACCCCGGAGACCCGGATGGTGCTCACGTGATTGTGGGGGGCTGGATTGGATGGCCCAGTATGCCACCCCATCCTACCTTTGATGGTATCTTCTACTTTGAGCCACTGCTTTGACTGCAAGCTGAAAGGGATGGACCTTTCTCCCAATGATGGAGAAGTCTGGTGCAGCCTGAGGGCAGCTCTTGCTGGGAAGCGAGGATCTTCCTCATTGCAGCCAGCCCAGGTTGGTGGCACTTTCAGCAGAGGGAAGTAATGGAGAGGGATTCAAAGGGTTTGCGTAAATAGAATTATTCTGGAGAGAAGAAAAGTGTTTGGTTTTTTTTCTTACTTCCACTTTGTAATAGAATTAAACTAAACTGAGAAGAGTAAGAAACTCTGTTCAGAGTCCTTCCAAAAGAGTAACCTCGCTTTGAACTTGTGCCTCCCCTCGTTCCTGACAAATGCTCATCAGCATCCTGGCCCCAAACACGTCCTTCATCCTCAAGGAATCTGTGCTCTTCTGAGCAGAGAGGTAGAACATTCACCCTCTGGCAGAGGCTGTTGTCCTTGACTTTGCACCGTGCCTCTGCCTAGCTGGCAGGACGAGTGTTTTGTGGAGAGATGGTGGCTGGTGGCATTTATTCTTGAGAGCAAAGTAAAAGGGAGATCAGGGAGTTAATGTTAGGTGTGGAAAGGTGGTGTGGACTCTGCTCACATGCTTGCATGGATGTTTTAGAGAGAACAACTGGATGATTCAGCAGTTTTTGTCCGGAATAACGTAGCAGGATGAGCTTGTGACAATGGTATTTATCACATGTAGCTAACGGGACATCTGCAAACCTACTTGAATCATAAAAACATGAGCTGCAGGGGATTTACATCTAATGTCTTTCTTTGGACAAACAGGACCTATCTGCTTTTGCCATAATATATAATGCAGAGGATCAACAAATCATCACCACCATGGAAATTTCAAAACTTCTATAAGCAATTTCGTTATAAGATGCTTCTCTAAGCCTACACAAGGCAGAAGCTGAAACAGGAGATAGAAGACAAGGAGTGAAGAATCCATCCATCATCAACAATGCATTTGGGAAATTTCATGTCTTTTTTCTGCCTTAGAGTGTCCGCACACTGATTGCAAAATTCCATATCTTATCAGTTGTTCTAAACAGTGTCCAGATTTCCTCTGTAAATCATTTTAATTTGCAGCCATCTGTTTGTAACTGCTAATGACATTATTCACAAGATATTGTTACTGTTAGCAGCAGTTTGATATATGTATATATTCCAATGGGGGGAGGGGGGAGGAAGGACCAGCTGATCGAAACATGAAGATTAAAAAGCAGTTGTGAGAATATTGAGCCCTGGCAGTATGAAGAGAGAAAGTCTTGCTGGAGGGAGAGAAACCCTCTGTGGTTACTTTCAACTGCAGGTCCAGGTCTACAACAGACCTCAGAGCTGCCACCCCAGGCTGTGCTCCCTACTTGAGGGCATAGGGCTGAGGAAGGGTCTTTGCCATTTTCAGCTGGCCAGGAAACCCTCCCCTTTTCCTCATGTGTGGATTTTCTTGAAACAAGGAACTTCATGACCATAACTCATTCTCCCAGAGGTTTAAATCAAATGCCCTGCCACACACCACGTATAAGTCCACGGAGTGGTGCCGATGAGGCAACCGCAGCTTGCGCTGGCCCTTCACGAGCAAATCGGCTGCTCTCTGGTTTGGGGCTGAGCTCTAACCCCTTGCCCTAAGCTGTAACTACTTGCCCGCAGCGATGGGCCCTGTGCAAGCTGGACCTTGCTCAGGCCTGACCGCAGCACTCGATAGCTTGACAAGGCCTCCCTGGAGGTACATTCCCTCGCTGATTCCTGCGTGCATGCAGTCAGCCCATGATAAGGAGATATGCATAGGAGAGCATAAAGGAAAAGAAAGCAAAGCTGCGAGGAAGGGGAAGAGAGAGGTGGAAAAGGAAAATCCAGGACCACGAAGAGACAAAGAAAGAGCCCCAGTGTAAAACATCTATAAATGAGGTGTGAACCCTGCAAATACAGGTTGGGAGAGACTGTTGCAACCTGGGAGAAACATAGCCTGACAGAAGTATTTGTTTGTCCACACTTCTTGAATGCTGCTGTGGCCAAAGTACATGAAAAAAAAAATCCTATTTTAGAGAAAATAAAGAGTTTAACAGAGCGTATCACTTCAGGAATAACAACACTTATAAAACTCTCCACTCTCTGCTAGCCTCTGTTGCCTCACTTAATTGCAAGCTATTATTTAGTGTGTTCCACTTTCTAAATATCCTAGCATGCTGCACAAAAAGCAACCTTGGAGCTGCTTCCTGGAAGAAGCTAGTATGAAATGAAAGCGTAACCCGCTTCCAAAAAATTCTACTTCAACTTGGTGAAGGGGCAAGGAGAGCATTTTGCCCAGCCACATAGCTTCTCCTCCTGGGAATCATTTTGGAAGATGCCTTCACCATGAGCCCAGAGCATCCCCCTCACCTGCGCCAGCTGCTTTTAAATATCACCTCTCACCGCTCCTGTGCATTTGGAGGGCTTGATCCAAAGTCTGCTGAAATCAAGGGTGATCACTTCTCTGTTTTCACTGGGCTTTGGAGCAGGACCCGAGTGGGTTCTGCCCAGCCTGGCATGACAGGAATTTCTTTAAAAAAAAATGATCTGAATGCCTCCCTTGAGCCTCCTCATGCTCACACTCCCCCCACCCTGGACAAGCAGGAGGACTTTGCAAGGCTGATGTGGTCCAGACAGACTTGAATCGGTTCCACAGGAGTGATTGATGGGCACTCTGGTGGTGGGAGCGCCGAAAATAATCCCAACAAATGTTTCCCAGTAGCACCTGGCAGCCAACCAGAAGACAGCACTAGCATTTCCTAAATACTGAAAAAATGACTGTCACCGCAGATGCCTCACTAAATATAACCCTAGTGAGGTGGCAGCCTGTGAAAGGCTGGAGAGGGGCAGCTACTCAGTACTTATGTACCATGCTTGTCTGATCTGAGTGAGCCCTGGACTGCCATCCCTGGGCTGTGAGATTTCCAGCACTGTTTGCTTCATAAAGCTATGAAGTCCCAAACCAATTAGCTGAATGAGGAAGTGTCTCTCATGGGGTTAAGTACCAATAAATTACTGAAAATTGAAAATAGGGAGCTATCTGAGCAGAGCAGAGTCTTACTGTATATGGGCAGAAACCATGATTTTGGTGTATCCAGGCTGACCCCATCTCTAGGGCTTCCGGGGTGGGGGTGGGGGGGGTTGTCCTGTTTGGACTTAGGTGTTTGGGACTGTGGGGTGCGTGCTCCTCTGGGATGCCTGCTCTTTACCCACTGCAGGGGGAGCCAGGCAAGCACCTCTGAGTGGCAGCCAGAGCTGGGGGAACTAGCACACGTAAAGTGTACCATCTTTAATGTGTGTTTATTTCACAGAGTAAAGTGCTACCTGGTGTCAGAGCAGTGGAACACAGCACTTACTTAATTTTTAAAGGTAATTAAGATTTTTCTCCACAGTGATCTCCTCTCCCCTTTGCTCCTGCACCTGAACTCAAGAATTAGTTTATCAGCAGAATTCAGTGGTTCCTTGGCCCTGTGAAGCATCAGTTGTAAGAGCTGTGTTGTATCATGTTATAGAGCAAGTCAAGGGGTAATACTGCCAGTGTTAGTTTTAGCAATTTGCTGAGCGACCATATGCATTCAGATATGTGATTCTGATGCTGATACATGATTCTGATTTCCCCAGGTGGCCCTGGGAATAGGGTCATTCTTGAAATTTGGTCTCCAGCAAAAGCCCAATCCATTATCAAGGTGTTTCATGTTTCTCTGACTCAGCCATATTACTTTAAGATCCAAAATGTTAAGTCAGGTGCCTAGATTTGTGCATCTAAGAGTTCGTATGCAGAGATTGCATTTGCTCTTCAGTCTGCTTGCACCCACCAACACAAAGTGCTTAAGGTCAGCCCTGGATATGGCTGCTCCATTGCAGAAGCAAATCTAAGGAGATGTGTAATGAATCCTACCAGGCTGGAGCCCAAAGGGAAGACATTACCCTTTTAAATAAGTGGTATTTTTCTTTGCCACTTACTCCTTGAGTAAGGACTTGAGACCCACTTGAGAGCCACAGGGAGTGACAAGCAAGATGTTGGAGGAGACCCCTCAGATCGGGAGCACAGAAACCCCCTTGTAAGGAGGGGTTATCAAACAAGAGATGAAAGCCTGGATAAGGCCACAGAGTAAGGCAGTCACTGTAGTATGTCCAGTTGGTCTTCATCTAACTAGCAGAAGGAATGGGACACGGAAAGTACCATGGCCTGCTTTTCCTGACTGCTTATTCAGGCTCCTAGAGAATTTGTTTTCTGGTTACTTTTACTTGCTAAAGCTCATGTCATAGCATCCTTGCTAGAGATGAAGCTAATAAGGTGTGCTAGTGCATGCAGTAGGGCATGCTTCATTCTGAAAAGACCTTCAGATAAGGAAAAATACTTTATCCTATTTAAAAGAAAATCTTTTTTCTGATTATGCACTCCAGGAAATTGTGGGAATGTGTCTTGAGGAAGTAATGGGAACAACCTTGCTAGACACTAGGCCCAAACTTCTAGCAAACGTAGCCCAAGAAACAGTCCTCTGCCAGCTAGACGAGGGCTGAACAGCATTTCCAGTTTAGATGGTTTAGTACAGGTTCATCTCCATGGTACAGTCAGTTGGCAGTTTTCTGATTTCTGAAGAAATTTACACCATTATTAGATCCCCCTGCTGGAGAGTTTGCGGGTGCAGGCCTCTTTCATTGCCTTTGAGACTGCATTTTGGAGGGCTGAAATTTGAACTTCATGTCAGACCCCAGTTTAATTTTGAAAGAGGCAGAAGGATCTTCAGACTGGCAGATTTGTTTTCCTGGATCTGAACTTGCCCTTTGATTTTGAACTGTGCGAAACTGCAAGCAACCCTTTTTTCCAGTTCTTATTCATAAGCAGCCAAAAAAAAAGAAAAAAAAATACCAAGAAAAGCAGAAAACCCAACCTGTGATGACCCTGGAAACTCTGGGCTGTCTCCTTTCTGTATGTTTGTATTGCGCCTGCCACAGCAAGCCCAGGGGGTCAAAAGACTTATCATCAGACAGGTAGTTAACCAAGGAAGGCTTTCATTTCAAATCCATCACATAAGACACTGATAGACAGGGGAATTTTGAAAATTGTTTTCTCAAGTTCCGCTGTCCTACATGCTACTGCATATATACAGCTCTAGCTGCTCTTTGGAAGCTCCTACTCATTCGGGTTTTTTTAATTATTCAGACTTCAGCCTATCAAGATGAACAATTAATTTCTTACTCAAGAAGCGTCGGATTTCAAACTCTGCTTGCAGGTGTTCTATCTAATAGAAACTGTCATAGGAACCGTTCCTACAGCAGACTAGGTAAACAGACGAATATAGAACATATTACTCCATAGGACAGCTGGTAAGAAAAGCTATAACGGCAGTAGTGTCATTTAAACAAAAATATCTAATTTGGGATCTCCTGTATAGGACAGAAGCTTCTCTGAGTTGCTAGTATTTATCCATAATAGCTTGCTTCTTTAAGATTTCATTGGACGAAATCTTGTAACCTTTAGGAGGTTTTTCTGGGTCCCTCCCTTAGATCAACATGACCTTTAGGACGTTCTCACGTGGTTTTGGAAGAGCAACCCTCCCTGAGCAGGACCAAGAGCTCTGGACCTCCTGTCTTCCTGCTACCACGCAGCTTGATGGTAGCTCCTGAGAGGCATTAGATGGCATGAAGTAACATCAGTTTATCAAAGGCTCTGTATATCCTCATATTCAACTTCTTTAGGAAGGCCCATTGTGTATTTTTCACCCCCTTCTGGTGTTAGCAGAGTTAAGAGGCACCTCAGGAACCACTAGGATTTTAATATTCATACACTTTCCTAATTGTTCACTTCCCAGTCCCTTTTCTTCCTGCCAGGAGATGATAATGTTCCTTGCCGAGAGCCAGATTCCTCCAGCTCCCTGACTCATTCTCCTATAAATTTTGCAGCAAAAGCAGTTTGCTGCTAGACCTGTTCAACACTTAAATGGCACTTAGGGTGAAATTCGTCTTCCTAACTTCAGATACCTCCGTCTAGCTGGTTACCATCTAGCCTGTTGTCCTCCCTTTGTAGTCAGCGGCTTCAAATCTGATTCATCTCATGCTAAAATAGATGACTAAAATAAATCAGATGAATCCTCCCTGAGAATGGCTTATGTGACTGTGAAAGGAGCTGAGAGTAACTAGCCGTGATAATACATCAGCACTGTGGATGTCTAAAGTGCAGTGAGACGAATCCTACTCTTGGGCTCAAAACATTTTGTTCCAATTATTTAAAGTCACATTTGAAGAAGATTGTAAGGAGTTATGAAAAACCCGCGGCTGCACTGAAAAAGTTATCCAAAGCCCTGACCTCCTTCTAAATGCTCCATGAGTAGTTCATACCACTGTTGTATTCCAAACATCTTCTTGAACCATCAAATTCAACAGATAGGCCCCAAGAAATTTATATGAAGCTTCTGTATCAACTTTCTGGGGTGTATGTGCACAATTTGTTATCTTACCTGTGATAAAGCTTCCTGTTCCATAACTGAACTGATGTTTTAGATGCTGGAAACAGCAGAATTCCAATTTTGTGACTCTGAGTTCACTGCAGGTTGATGCTGTACGTGTGGTTTGCACACCCACACCCACACCGAGAAAAACACAGGGCAAAATGACCCGTAAGTTCTTCTGAAAGTTTCCAAGCGAGAAGGAATGAAACTATCACCTCAGTCTTGAATTCTGAGTTTTCACTGTTTTCATTGTCTACAAAAGGTTCAAGAGAGAAAAGGGTTTTCGTATACATTGGCCTCCATTTCCAGGCAGCACTGAACTTAAATACTCACAGGCTCTTTCATTCAGGGGCATTTCTGCGTGAGCTTGAAGTTGGGCGTGCAGTAAACTTCCCTGGTGAATCAGGAGGGATTAAACTCAGGGGCCTTTGAATGGAGCATTACTCTTTATTTTAGATCTTCAGACAGGAGTTATGCTCTTGCCGTGTGGTTGTTCAATGAACTGGAGACTGTGAGTCTGCAAATACACACACACACACACACACACACAAATGGTTTGCAAACTATCAATTACTGCACTAAAAAAAGGAGTTTAATATCTGCTGAGACACCCAGTTGAAGAGGAAAAAAAAAAAAAAAAGCATATAGAACTGGCAAGAGAACTGTCCAGAAGTAATAAGTGAAGTTTTTAAGCTAAGCTTGAAGACTAGCTGCAACTTGCCACACAGGAAAAAACAGAAGACAAAAGCTCTATTATGCCTTCTTAAAAATGTAAGAGTACAGCACACACATTCCCTGACAAGGTCATTAAACATCAGGTTCAGAGACTCACAGTGGCATATGACCGGGCCCTGGTACAATAGGTGTTTACTCTTTGATTCAGCGAGGTGCTGGTATGCATAGGGGCTGCTGTCGTCTGAAGAACACTGGTTTTGGCCCCGTCTGGGCCATAACCACTTGGTTTTGTTAGTGCACAGAAATGTGGCTAAACCCACCCCTTCAGATATCTAATTTGTTTGGAATGATAGGCACGTCCTGACTAAAAATTAATTCTGCTGGGTGATATAACTTGTCTGAATTTGCAGGAATTTGCCATTTGGAAAAAGGAAAAAAGAAAAGCATTTAATTAGGGATGGAACTAAAGCAGCTAATTTGATATTTCAATGGAAAAAAAAATACAGGTTAAAAATGAAGATTATATGCTCTGGGTGAAGAATGCTCCCTCCTTTCAGGTATGCTTTGATGAGGCTTCTTCCACTGCTAAGAAATGCAGTGCACGTTTCTCTTGAAGTAACAGCAGCACTAACTTTATCTAGTTATTCTTTATCCTCCTGCCTCTGTCTCCAAGCAGATGACCCAGTCTTCGACTGCTGTCAGTCATGGTGGGGATTTATAAGGCACGTTTCACTCCATCTTCAGGCTCTTCATCCTGTGAGACATGTTACCATGCAGCAGGGAAAGGTGTCAACAGCAAATCTTCCTCTCCAGGGGTTTCTGCCTTGGGCGCCCTCCCACCTCGGTCTGTCCTTCCCGGGAGGGAGATCCCAGATGTTCATTCCTTTTCCCTAGAGCTGGGGAGTATGTCCCAGGTTGCGCCTGTGGCACAGCTGTGGCAGCAGCAACGGTGCATCAAAGAAACAGGAGCAAGGTCTTGGTGGCCGCAGAGCCAGTAGGTCTCTCTAGCAGCCCCTCAGCCCCCAGGCTGACCCAAATGCTGCTGGGTAGCTAGTGCCTGCCACTTTACTGTGCTTCTGGGGACAGTTGAGGGCAGTGAGATCAGCCCCAAGGGGTAGCCAGGCTCTGCATGTCACCGGAGCCTCCCAGAGACACCTTGGCCCCTGCCCAAATGCAAGAAGTGAGTAAGAAGTGCATCTGCAGCCTTCCAGGTGGGCTTCACCTCACAGAGTGCCCACAGAGACCTGGTGCAAATTTCCTGTTGACCTCAGCATTGTAAATCTTGAATAACACCAAGGATGTGCCCCAGCAGCAATAGCTTTTTGCCTTCTTCTTCCTGAGGATGGTTTGGGATGCCATCATGCCTGCAGTGTGCCCTGAGACACTCCGCTGGGGAGTGCATGACACAGTAGATGAAGTCTCATCAGTGCGATTTGGGAGAGCTCAAGTCAAGAGAGCTCACATCCAAACTGGGTTCGGACCCACCCCTTCTGTGGTTATGAGCAGATGGTCTAGACCACTGACATTTTCTGGAAGTCAGTTTCTCAGGTAGAGTCACTTCCTGACAGAGCTTTTTGTCTTTTATCACGAGAAGCATAATCTGAAAAAGGCTAATTATTTACTGGAGGGTGTTCTTTTTCTTAATCTTTTCTCTTTTCTTATTAGTGTCCTTCTAGTTTATTACTCATCTGTGGCTTTTTACAAGTTGTCTTTCAGGTGAGGTGCAGTGAAGTGGTGTTACATTCCATACATGTAGGGGCTTAGCTGCAGTTTCATTGTGTATTCAACCCTATAATTAAGACTCAGATGGAAGACTTTATGCCTTTAAAGCAAAGAAATTCTAGGTTTCTTGGCAAAACATTTGACTGAGTACATAGAGAGCACCTTAAGTACTTAAATGGTCTCTACATGAGGAAACCTGATGCCAGAAATGATGTACCTTAAAGGCAGGCTGTTGGGAAAAAGTAAACAAACCAAAGCTAAAACTCTTGATGTTTCAAGGTACATTCTTCCTGTGTACTTTTTTTTTTTCTTGAAAGATGCTCTGTGAGAGGGATTGTATTCTTAAAAGGTGCCATTGCTGGCAGTAGGTTGGTATTATGTGAGCTGCATAAAGAGTGGGAATCAGTAAAAAAAGCATCCAGCTGGTTTTCAATAAATTATGAGTGACTCAGCCATTTCCTTTAAGCAAATCAATACAGTGCTTTGGTGAGCCAATAATGAGGAAGACTCAGTGGGAAAAAAAAAAAACATTGTCTTAGAGAATTATGTAACTTGGTCACTGTGCCTGGCAGTGGGAACTAGCCTCCTTCAAGGGAGAGGAAGGGTAGAGCAAGGCATGGAGGGCTGTGGGACACTGAGGGATGTGGGACATGCAGCAGGAAAAGTTTTAGGGTAGAATGGGGCATTCACACAGGAGGGCTTTACCCATGAGAAAAACTCTGCAGGGAAGTTGAGTCAAGTGAGGAGAACCCCTCCGGCCATAACTCCACAGAGGCCACCAGAAGGCTACTCCTTTGCCTGGGGAAGGACCAGAGCAGCCTCGGGTGAAAGGAAACGCTCTGCCCTTGCTTAGGGTGTCCATCCAAGTGTGTAGACAGCACTTTTTCCATCAGTAGATCTCAAAATACTCTAAAAAAGGATCAACAACAGTTTTTATAGATGATGAAAACATGGCACAGAGCTGTGACCTTGTCACTATCATCCAGCTGGCTGGCATCTGAGCTAGCAGCAGAATTAAATTCACATCCCATGCTTTTATAAGTCTAGAACAAACCCAGTTTTGCTATTTTGATTTTTCACAATGCCATTCTAAAATTTGGCAGAGAAAGATGCATATATCCTCCATTCACCTCCCATGTATTTGGGGCCTATTGAATGCTAAATGAAACAGCAGAAGTAGAGCAATAAAGATTTCTATCAATGGAGGACCTCCCACTGCACAGGGAATCTATTTAGTGTGACCTTCAAAAGCACATAATTTGCCAAAAGTCAGCCCAATCTTTTTAGGGGTATCTGTTTCTTTTAAGAGATGGTCTGCGTATCAGATGAGCCAGAATACTTTGGGATGTGAAAATTACAGCAGCCTCTTTTTCTTTCTCTTTTTTTGTTATTAGCCATCAGAGTAAATAAGCATAAGCCCTACATGGAGCATCTTGTTGGGGCATACATTATATATGCCCCAGGGTGCAAATATTTTACACACCCTCCTCTTTGATTTTTTTTAATGGAATATGCAAATTGTACATGTTTCAGCTGGGATTGTCTCTCTTTGATCTGACTGTTCTCCATCCTGGAATTTCACTCAGTAGGGAAGCCAAACTGAGAAATGCAGTGAAAGGGAATTTCATCCCTCACCTTCTCCAAAGCCATCAGGGGCCCGGTGAACGCGTTACAAAGGCTTTGGTCGATTGTAGCAGGTTTGGAATAAAGTCCTTACAAAGGAAGAATAACCGGAGTATCTGTCCAGACCACTGCAAAGACGAACCAAATACCTTTGGTGTCTCCCTCAGTGTGAGGGTTCATTTCCAAAGGATATGGTCACATGAAAGAATATCATAATTTCTTTTGAACTGCAGCACCCATCCTGCACATGATGCTGCAGCCTGGCACCAGGTCTGTCATGGGTGATCTGGAAGCTTGAGTGCAGCAGGATGGAGAGTGACATGTGACTGTCCACTGGAGAAAAGCCATACCACTGGCGCTGATGCCCAGCAGCATCCACTCTGAGAGTCATAGCGGGGATTGTTCCCATTCATAACAATTCATAACAATTTTATGGCCCCTGCAGGGCCATAAAAATAATGCAGTGTACAGACTTCCTAGTGGAAAGGACTTCAGATGAACACCTTCGGATATTCTTCTAAATAGGAAACAAGCAGCTTGAATACACGAGCAAGTCAAAGGAAAATTGTTTTAAAAAATGTACCAGAGGAAAGGCTTGCGTTAGACCCACCTGCAGATAGTGAAGAGACCAGGGCAGAAGCTGTGGAAGAGGTCAGCTGAAACAACAAGCGGTGCCTAGACTACACTGCCAAAACAGCACACTCCAGGGCTTGAGTTACTGTCTTTGTGCAAACACCCCGAGTGGCTGCAATGATCAGCAACTTTTCTTTGATGAAGCAGTTAGAGATGAAAGGGAAAACAGAACAAGGAGAGAAAGCAACATATGGCAATACACATGGATTTGCTGTATGAAACAGGCTCCTTCTTCTGCTGGAGCGAGTGGAAGTTTTGCCTCCGACTTCAGTAATAGCAACTGCTGAGCTCAAAGGATCGGATGAGTTTTCTGGAACACATGGAAATGAGCTGTCAGTCAAGCACGTATCAATGCCCAGGAAAACTGGTTGCCTGTACACCAGCCTATGCTGCAGCAAACCAGGCATGACCAGGAGTTTGCATTTATCCAGAGAGAACAAATTGAGCTGCCTGGTGAAAATAATGCTAATACTGGAGTGACTGGAGGGGGTGCCCTTCCTGAATTTAGAAAACAGTCCTTTTTATGTCTGCCTGCCTCTGGGGGAAAGGACAGTATAACGAATCATCCCAGCCACAAAAAGACTGTAACTAAGATTTTACCTGAGCAAGAAGGAAGCTTTTTCAAGGCTCATAAATGCTTATTGATTTGTCCTTTTCTATTTGTGTGCTCTGCATTTCCAGGAGCACAAGTGGAAAGAAAACATCTCTAAGCTGCTTCCCTCTAGCTAAGGATTTGGTCCATCCACTACTGTCAAAAGCAAAGGAGCTTGCATGTGCAGAGCCTCAGGCCTGCAGCAGTGGGCTGCTGTGCTCCCAGATGCCTTTCACCTGTGCACATTTGCCTTTTGGGCGAGCCCAAGACAC